TCATTATGCAATGCAAACCTCACAATTGAGGCAGATATGCAATTCTCTACCCAATTTATTCAAACTTTGGAGTTGGGAGTAGGTCTGATAATTTAAATACACAATGGAAGCTCTATGCGTCTCTTTGTGTATACCACTATTTCCTCTGTGACCTAGCATTCAGGATGGAGTATTAAAAAAAACAAGTGGAAAATTCTTTGGAATGTTATGTTTCAAAGCAAAAGTTACATTTAATTATATAAGATCATATGACACAATTTAGCTTTTTAATATTGTTTAAGGTGGAGGAAACACCCTTTCTCTCATTGGTAGGCTGTGCATTCAGAGATTTACAACAAAATAACATGACTTGAGTAGATGTGGTTTGGGTATAAAAGGAATCCAGAAATACCATCAGGGAAGCAGTGGGATTTGTTCACCAGGCTATGGGATGGGGCTAGAGAGGAAGTATCCAGTGATAATGGCTTGGCCTAGAGCGAGCAGCTGGGCTGCCCAAACACACTATTCTCAAATGCTATTCTAGAGGCAAAGGTGGGCATAGTTCCAGATAATCCAAAAATCAATGCCCAGATGCCAGAGTGTCCACTGCCAAGTGGTGACTGCTTTGGGAGCTCTTTCCATAGTCCTATGGAAACATTGGAGATAGACTCAGACTCTCAGGGGAAAGCTGGAAAGAACGAGAATCCAGGAGGAAATATGGAGCAACAGAGAGAATACCGCCTGTTACCAGCTGTGTGAATTAGTTAGATTCTTAAAACTCTGTAAGCTTCAGTTTTCTTCTGTATAAAACGGTGATAAAGCATCTACTCTGTGGTACTGTTGAGGGTTAAAGGAATAATAAGAGATAAGGTATTAAAGAAATGAAAACCTTAGCATAGTGACTTGCTATTAGTATATGTTCTCACTGAGTCATTTACTACCTGCAATGCCCAGCCACTCTCAAGTCTCTTTTGGTTTTTCGCTTTTTAATTTTTATGGATACATAATAGCTGTGCATATTTATGGGGTACAAACATGATATTTTGATACAAGCATGCAATGTGTAATGATCAAATCTGGGTAAGTGGAGAATCTATCAAACATATTTCTTTGTGTTGGGGACATTCCAAAACATCTCTTTTAGCTGTTTTGAAATATACAATAAATTATTGTTAACTGCAGTTACCCTATTGTGTTACTGAACACTAGATCTTATTCCTTCTATCTAACTGTATTTCTGTACTCATTAACCAGTCCCTCTCCTTTACTCCAACCCCTACATCCTTCCTAGCCTCTGTTATCTATCATTTTATTCTCTATCGCCATGAGATCAATTTTTTTAGTTACCACATGAGTGAGAACATGCAATATTTGCCTTTCTGTGTCTGGCTTATTTCACTTAACATAATGTCCTGCAGTTCCATCCATGTTGTTGCAAATGACAGGATTGTGTTCTTTTTTATGGCTGAATGATATTCCATTGTGTATATATACCACCTTTTCCTTCTTTTTTTTTATTTCAGCATATTATAGGGGTACAAATGTTTAGGTTATGTGTGTTGCCTTCCCCCTCTTCTCCACTGGAGTCAGAGTTTTAAGCATGTCCATCCCCTAGATGTATACCACCTTTTTTTAATGCATTTATTTGTTGATGGACACTTAGGTTGATTCAATATCTTGGCTATTTGAATAGTGCTGCAATAAATATGGGACTGCAGATATCTCTTTGATATCTCAAGTCTCTTTCTTGATCCTGGAAATCAAAGTCACTTTCATTTAATGGGACTCCAGCCAAAAATAATGGAAATGTGGGCAGAGCTCCAGTCCTGGAAGGGGGCTGTGCCAAGGTAATAAGTCAGATGAATGAGACAAAAGTAGGGGCTGGGTACAGCTACCTGAGGCTTCATCATCCACTGGTTTCTGCTTAGCATAAGGAAGGAATCAGAAAATATTTGATCATAAAAAGACAATTCTTATTAGTTTTTGATGCCAAATGTGCATAGAAACCGGTCTGGATAAAAACAAAAATAGTAAAAAAAAAAAAATGCCCAGCTCATTCTTTTGGGTTATATTTCTGAGCCCTAGAATGACAGGAAGCAACATTTTTTGTACTCTATAAATAGTATTGCCTTATCTTTTTTCGCCAAGGAATGCTAAAGCAATGTTTTTCCTGCTTAACACTATTTTTAGAAAAGCCTGATGTTCCATTAACTTCTATATGAAAGAAGAAGCTATATAAATCTCTCTAGTGGCCAGAATAAACCCAAGGAAGCCACTTAAAATCATGTGCCAACCCAAGAATCTCTTTCTTTAGTACCCTGCCAGGATTCTTATGTGACATTAGAAAAACAGCCCACGATGGGGTAAGCTCTGGGGGAGGATAACGGGTGAGCACAGAGATAAATGGGGTACTCCCATGTGCTGTGGTGGCAGCTTCCGTGGGGATTATCAGCTGTCAGTGCAAATGTGATTTCAGATCATGATGCATTCATGGTAATTCTGCCGATTTCTATGCAACAAGACCGATTCCCCCATATAAATGAAAGCAGGAATTAAGAAATTTAGAATCACTAATTTGCAAAGCAGTATACTTCAGAGATTCTGTTGAATGCTTTATTAGAAAAAGGTATATGATAAAACATTAGCGAGGTTTTGAAAGTTCTCATTCACTAATGCCGTAAGGGATAATCAGGTGACTGACACATTCAGGGCAAAAGTGATAGGATTCATTTAGTTATGGCTTTCAGGCCAAATCTGGTTCACTGCCTGTTTTTGTATAGCCATGAGCTAAGAATTTCCTCTTTTGCATTTTTATATGGTTGAAAAAAAATCAGAAGAATACTTTGTGATACCTGAATGAAAATTATATAAAATTTAAATTTCGGTGTTAATAAAGTTTTATTGCAACATAGTTACTTTAATTCATTTATATATTGTCGATGACTGTTTTTGTGCTAAAATGACAAAATTGAGTAGTAGCAACATGGCAAGTAAAGGCTAAAATATTTACTCTCTGGTGTTTCATAGAGTTAGTTTGCTTTTTCCTGATATAAACTTTTAGTATAGCTACAATGACATAACAAATCATAACTATTTCACTCTCTTTGTAGTATAAAAATGTAGATCCTTCAAGTTTTAAGCACTTTGGATGACAATTATGGAGAAGTAGAAAATGTGAAATGACCATATCTAACACATAGTGGGCATTTTATTTATTAAATGAATGAAAGAAATGGCTATAATTTTTGAGTCAGATAACATGCTTATGCTAAATACTTATATATGGTTTTTGGTAATAGGAAAGATCTATTGCTATAACTTTGATTATGATATAAACTGGATCATGGTATCCATACAAGTAATGTATTCATATGCCGTTTATCTTAGATTGTGATATATGCTAATGTTTCCCCCTTGGAATGTTGGTGGAAACTGAGACTCTGTAAATAGCTCTGTGAAGTAATGATGGCATTCTTAGTAAAAACCAATCAAGGATCAGTTTTGTTTGTTTTGCAAATAATATGTACATTTTTAAACTAAAAGGCAATTAATCCTTTCCCTAAATCTACTGTATCAAAAAGGAATATGTTTCTGCTATAAGTAGCAGGCACCTAGTCTGCTAGTTACCCTGGCTAACAGAGGCTTAAACAACTATGTGTTTATGTGTTTATTTTCTCATTTATTTATCTTTTTGATCATTATGTCATTTGGGACCTAAGCTTTTTTTTTTTTAATATCTTGTCTCTCTTACTGTCCTTGGCATGTTAATGGTTTCATCATTACACTATAGCTGCTGCCAGTCCAGACATTATACCTGTGTTCAGGGCAGGAAGCAAGTATGGTGGAGTAGGTTGGGATAGGTGATGGGGATGTTTACGACTCACCAGAAAAAGCAGAAGTTGCTAGAAGCCCCTGTCTGACTCATGTTTATGTCCTAATGACTAGAATTGTGTCATATGGCCACTTGCAGCTTTAGCGATAGGCTGGGGGTGTAGCGATAGGCTGAGGGCAGGCAGAGGAATGGCAGGCAGGAATGGCTATTGGGAGTATCTACTACACCTACCAAGAAATGTAAGTAACAAACCACAAGAACATTTTCTGAAACAATTGCTCCATCCTTTTTGTCTGTTTAAAGGCCAAAGCCAAAAGGACAAATGAGCACAGCGAGATTCAGCAAGCATTTGCTGAGTTAGATACCAGTCATAGTTATTTCAAAGAATAGTGTCCATGTTCATTTCCTAGATTACCCCCAAACATCATGTTTTGTATCTTGTACAAGCAGAGTTAATAGTTACACACATTTGGAGAGGAAAGAAGCATTAATCATCTTTGTGACTCCTGCAAAGCAATTAAACATTTTTGTGCAGAAACATTTCACATTCAACTGGGACTGGGTGTGAAAAATGTTCATCTGTTTCCATTTTAATCCTTACTGTACAATAAAAATGTAAATCACAGAAGGTTGGAGCAAGGAGGGCCTTCACAGGCTGTGTAGTCCAAAGCCCTCTTCTGTGATTTAAAATGGGCCTCATCATGCCATCCCGGTGGGAACTTGTCTGTGTCTTCTTACCCAAGATGACAGGGCAGAGCTGCCTGCTCTATTGTTGCCTTAGTGACTTCCCTTATTTAATATCTGATCTACAGGTCAGTACTTTTCCTTTCCTGATAACCTTTGAAGGTACAGCAGGTAGAAACTTATGGGCTCAGTGCCAAATATTCTTTCTGCTTTCACTGCTTCTCTGTTTCCTTTTGAATGGTGGGTGGTTTAATTGTGCCCAGATGCAAATCCTACTGCTGCCCTGGAATCATTTTAGAGGGGAAGAAGTCTTTCTGTGTTACTCCTGATCCGACCTGCAGGAAATTATAGATACTTAAGAAATTTAAGAGATTATCCATTTTTTGGAAGAAAAACTGAATCCAAGAATGTTTAAATAGAGTGCTCAGGGTTACATAGATATTTTGTGCCAAAATAAAAATTTGGTTCTAATTTCTAACCCCCGATGCTCTTTTCATTTTACCAGGCTACAGAGAAGACTATATTATCTGAGGTTGTACATAGAAACAAAGGCAAAATAAAAAAAAAAAAAGGATCATGAGGTTTGAGACCAAGATGAAGATCTATGTTCATGTCTTTAAACTTCCCTTTTAAAAACGGCTTTATTGGGGGTATAAATGGCGTACAATAAAATGCATATATTTCAAGTACACAATTTGATGTGTATTTGTGTGTGTGTATATGTGTGTCCATATATTATACATACACACACTGAAACAATAGCCACAATCAAGATAATGAACGTATTCATCACTCTCAAGAGTTAAAAAAAATTTTTTTTGGCTATAGTGTGCCTTTTTTTACTGGCTACTCTTAAGATTTATTTTTGTCAGTTTGATTATGATATGCCTTAGTGTAATTTTGCTCACATAAATTTTGCTTGAAGTTGATTGAGTTTCTTGGATCTGTGGATTGATAATTTTCATCAAACTTCAAAAAATTTCAGCTATAATATTTTCAAAATAAATTTTTGTTCTTTTTTTAAATCTCCTTTCTTTGTAGGGCCTTTGAAAACACTTATTAAACCACTTGAATTTGTCTCACAGTTCACTGATGTTATCTTATTTTCAAAAATTCTTTTTTCTTTTTGTTTTTCTTTTTAGTTTCTATTGCTATGTCTTCAAGTTTGCTAATCCTTTCTTCCTCAGTTTCTTTTCTGCCATTAATCCCATCAGTGTATTTCCATTTTATGCCTTGTAGTTTATAATCTCCAGAAATATAGTTTGGGTCTTTTAAATATCTTCCCTGTCTCTACAAGTTAGTTTGAATTTGTGGATTACAACGATAACTTAATGTCCTTGTCTACTACTAATAATATTTATGTCAGTTTTAATAAATTCTTCTCATTATACATCATATTTTTTTTCAGGCATGGTAGTCTTTGTTTAAATGGCAGATAGTGAATTTTACTTTGTGGGTGCTAGATTTGTGGAGGTATCCTGGCTAAAGAAACAATGAAACCATCAACACTTAAAACACTTCCATGCAGAAGTTAAAGAGGTTTAAAACCAAAATATATTTTTTTTAAAAAATGAACAAATTAAACTGGGAAGCATTTTTATTGAAACTTGATGAATTCACATGTTAGTAATTTTAATTAGTATTAAATCAGTATTTTCCTTTGTGACTAGTAACATGTGCATTCATCAAGTATATGTGTAATTTGAACATGATGGTGACATGAAGAGTTAGAGAATTTTTTCAGCCTAATTGCCATCAAACATAATGAGCCCTGAAATGTATAAAACTATGGAGAATTGCATCGTCAACAAAAGTGGTTTAGAGTTTTAAGTTTTGCTTAGGATTAACTTCTGATTGTGCAGCTGCAATGACAGAAAAATATTCTGGAGTGGCTAGTCAAATTATATGAATTTATATGTATTTATTTACTTTTAGACGTTGACATCACACTATACCTACAGTTTTTAGTCTGTTTTATTCACAAGATAATAGCCATTTACTAATATAATATTGGCATCTTTCTTTCTCATCACCATTTATGTAGAGTGGGTAATATTCCACTGTAGGTTATATCTTATTTATTTAACCAGTTTTACACTGACAACTTGAGAACTTTTTACTTTTTTTCTTTTTTGAAACAGCCCTATAATGAGCATATACACACACATATCCTCACATAAAATTGCATCCTTGTCCAATTATTTAGGTTAAATTCCTACAAGTAAAAATAAAGCCAAAGAACATGATACAAATTGCCAAATGTGCCTGCACGCCCTCTCAAACAATGCGAAATATATAATTTAATCTTTATTATTTTACAGGCAAAATTGAAAGTTCATAACTGTAACATATGTGACCTTCATTAATAAGGAGGTTGCTTTTCATGTCTATTAACCCATTGTTTTCACTCTTTTGTGAGTTGTCCGATCATATGCTTTGCCCATTTTTAAACTGGAGTCATTGTCCTTTTCATATTGATTTGTATGATTTCTTAAATTATCTCCTGCTCATTTATGTTGCAAATATTTTCCCACTGTGTCATTTTTATTTTGCCTTTTTTATATTCTTGCCAGTTTTTAGTTAGTATTAAATTGGTGCTTTGTTTTGTGAGTTCTGTCTCTGTTATTATGCTTAGAAATATCTCTGCTATTCAAAGTATTCAAAATTTTAGGCTGGGTGTGGTGGCTCACGCCTGTAATCCTAGCACTCTGGGAGGCCAAGGTGGACGGATTGTTTGAGTTCAGGAGTTCGAGACCAGCCTGAGCAAGAGCGAGACCCCCATCTCTTTTAAAAAAAAATAGAAATTAGCTGGACAACTAAAAAAATACATATGTAAAAAAAAAAAATTGGCTGGGTATGGTGGCGCATGCCTGTAGTCCTAGGTACTTGGCAGGCTGAGGCAGAAGGATTGCTTGAGCCCAGGAGTTTGAGGTTGCTGTGAGCTAGGCTGACGCCATGGCACTTTAGCCCAGGCAAGAGACTGAGACTCTGTCTCAAAAAAAAAAAAAAAAAAAAATTGCATGTATTATCATTTCAACTTTATATAAAATCTGGAATTTAAAAAAATGTAACACATAAGATATTCTATTAGTCAGCCAGAGCTGCCATAACAAAGTACCACAGACTGGGTGGCTTAAACAACAGACATTTATTTTCTCACAGTTCTGGAGGCTGGAAGTCCAAGATCAAGGTACTGTTGGGGCTTGTTTCTGGCAAGGCTTCTCTTCCTGGCTAATAGAGGGCTGAATCCTTGCTGTGTCCTCACATGGCTTTTCTTTTGTGCCTGCTCAGAGAGACGGAGGTCTCTGGTGTTTCTTCCTCTTATAAGAACACCAGTTCTGTTGGATTAAGGCCCTACCCTTATGACATCATTTAACCCTTATATTATCTTTTTATAGGCCCTGACTCCAAATACAGTCATACTGAGGGTGAGAGCTTGACATATGCATTTTGTCTGGGGACACAATTCAGTCCATCATAGTTATATGTTTATTTTAAAAAAAATCTGGTCAGTTTTCCTAATACTGTTTATTAAACAGTACATCATTTCCTCCACTAATTTAAAATTACATTTTTATAATTTAATATATTCTAGTTAGGTTTTATATAGTGAATATTTTCTGAGGTTTACCCACATATTTAATGTATTTTCTCACCATTTCTTCAGACTTTCTACCTGGAACCATCTTTCTTCTGAGGAAGTACATCCTTTAGAGGTTTTTTTTTTTTTTTTTAATTTTCATTTTTCAAAGGTAGACTACGGGTTTTGTTATATGTAGACTCCTCCTTTATTTTGGGAAGATAGTTCCACTGCTTTTTTTTTTTTTTTTTTTGAGACAGAGTTTCAACCAGGCTAGAGTACCATGGCATCAGCCTAGTTCACAGCAGCCTCAAACTCCTGGGCTTAAGTGATCCTCCTGCCTCAGCCTCCTGAGCAGCTGGGACTATAAATGAGTGCCAACACGTCCATAATTTTTTCTATTTTTAGTTGGCCAGCTAATTTTTTCTGTTTTTAGTTGGCCAGCGAATTTTTTCTGTTTTTAGTAGTGATAGGGTCTCCCTCTTATTCAGGCTGGTCTTGAACTCCTGACCTAAGTGATCCTCGTGCCTCAGCCTCCCAGAGTGCTAGGATTACAGGTGAGCCACTGTGCCTGGACAGTTCCATTGGTTTTTATATTATTTGGGATTCACAGTAATTTTTTTCCTAGCACACTGTAATGATTTCTGTATCTCATTATTTTCTGTATCCCATTGTCATTATGGAAAAGTCAGTTGTCAATCTAATCTGCTTTCCTTTTGTTGGTATTTTGTCCTTTCCTTCTGTCTGTATTTATTTTTTCCTTTTTGAGTTCTGCAGTTTTACAGTAATGTGTCTGGGAGTGTATTATTCTGGAACTGTCTAGGAGCATGGGATATGTTGGGGTTTTGGGATCCAATAAGTGGAGTCTTTTATCAATTTCATGAAAACATCAGTCATTATTGTTTCAAATATTGCCTGTTCTGAATGGGACTCTGAATGCACATATGTATTAGATCTCTAGCTCTATCCTCCATGGTTCTTAACTTTTATTTTATTTTTCATTATTTTCATCTCTTTATTTTTCTGGATCTCATTCTGGATAATTTTTAATATTTATTTTGTAGATTACAAATTGTCTTTTTAGGTGTCTTATCTGCTATTTTATCCTTCCATTGAGGTTTTGATTTCATTTTTTAAAATGTTTGTATAACTCCATTTGCTTCCAACTCAGTATGCTTAATCATTCTTTATGGTCTCTTATTTCTTTCTCATATTTTCAATTTCCTCAGTTATTGAAAAATCTTATTAAATATGGTTATTTTATTTTCAGGGCCTAATAATTCTAATACCTGCAGTCCTTGGAGATATTTTCTGGGATTTATTTTGTATTTCTTGCTCATAGTGCCTTTTTTTCCTTGGGCATTTAGTAACATTTTTAATGTGGACTCTTCATTTTCTTTGGAACGCCATCTCTGGGAAATATATGACTTGTGGATTGAAGCTGAGTTCCTCTACATAGGATTAACATTGGCCTCTGTCACTTGCTTAGTGGAACTACCAACCTGGGACCACTTTGAATGGAATTCTCCAGATTGAGGACTTCTGTGCTAACAGGTGGTGGGAACTGGAACTACAAATTCATGTGAAACTAGCTTGTTGTTAATTATCAGTGTCAAGGTGAAGACAGGCAAGGTTTTGCTGTCCTTTTTTTTAGTGGGATTCATTGCTCATCTGAGACTGTGGACTTCCAGCTTTATGTGTAGTTTTTAAAAATTTATTTACTCATTTTAAATAAGTCTTTGGCATTATCTCCTCTCTGTTGAGATCTATACAGCCTCAAAGTATAAGCTTAAGGTCCCTACGAATCGCCAGTAACTGTAGGATAAAAGCTAACTTTGGTGCTTGTTTATCCTCCAAGGTTCTTGCTTTCACTTCATTTTTGGGCTCTATGTATACCTTACTCTTTTACCTGCTCAGTTCTGCATTGAATGGAATTTGTTCATTTCATAATTTTATCCAAAACGTTATTATTTTAAGCTTCAGGGCTGCTCATTGACTTTCATCCACCATATT